TTGACATGATTTCAAACTGCTAGGTCGGCAGGAACAGTGACCGAGCAACGGGAGCTCACCACGTTGTGGGGATTCGAACCACCGACCTTCTGATCGGCAAGTCCTAGGCTCTGTGGTTAAACCCACAGTGCCACCCGTGTCCCTGTTCCTTAAATACTCCATTATAAAGAAAGCACTTTTTGCAGTCTTTTCATTTAAACTGCTTCTCTTCTGAGTTTGTTGATGGTCTGAAGGGTTTCAACTCTAAAAGTTCTTCCTGTCCATAAGTCTGTTGAAATTGAACTTCCACTAAGAGTACTTTCCTGATTTTACCGTATTTTTTGCTCTATAAGACTCACTTTTTCCCTCCTAAAAAGTAAGGGGAAATGTGTGTGCGTCTTATGGAGCGAATGCAGGCTGTGCAGCTATCCCAGAAGCCAGAACAGCAAGAGGGATTGCTACTTTTGCTGCGCAGCAATCCCTCTTGCTTCTGGGACGCACAATATTTTTTTCTTGTTTTCGTCCTCCAAAAACTAGGTACGTCTTGTGGTCTGTTAAGTCTTATAGAGTGAAAAATACGGTTATATGGTTTGTCTTTTGTGTGAGCTCTGTTGACATAAATCAAGGGTTCCACTCAGACTGAAGCTCCTTCTACAGTCCATACCCTTAAATGGTTTCTCCCTGTGTGAGTCGTTGATGATTTCTAAGGCTTCCACTATTACTAAAGCTCTTTCCACACTCAATACATTTACCGTATTTTTCCGCCCTATAGGACACATTTTTCCCCTCCAAAAATGAAGGGAAAATGTGTGTGCGTCCCTATGGGGCGAATGCAGGCTTTCGCTGAAGCCTGGAGAGTGAGAGGCATCTGTGTGCACCGACCCCTCTCGCTCTCCAGGCTTCAGGAAGCTATCCGCAAGCCTCGCGCACCCAGCCGGCAGCTCCCACCGGGTTCGCAAGGCTTGCAGGTGGCAGCCTGTTCTGGGGGGCTGGGGTCGGGGGAAGCCAACCAGGAAAAAAATATTTTTTCTTTATCCCCCCCCCAAAAAAAAACTAGGTGCGTCCTATGGGGCGAAAAATACGGTATCTGGTTTCTTCCCCTGTGTGAGTCCGTTGATGTGTTCTAAGGCATCCTCTGTTACTAAAGCTCTTTCCACACTCCATACATTGAAATGGTTTCTCCCCTGTGTGAGTCCGTTGATGTTTTCTAAGGTCTCCACTCTTACTGAAGCTCTTTCCACACTCCATGCATTTAAATGGTTTCTCCCCTGTGTGAGTCCGTTGATGATTTCTAAGGTCTCCACTCTGACTGAAGCTCTTTCCACACTCCATGCATTTAAATGGTTTCTCCCCTGTGTGAGTCCGTTGATGTCTTCTAAGACATCCACTATCACTGAAGCTCTTTCCGCACTCTATACATTTAAATGGTTTCTCCCCTGTGTGAGTCCGTTGATGGTTCCTAAGCTTTCCATTTTCACTAAAGCTCTTTCCACACTCGATACATTTAAATGGTTTCTCCCCTGTGTGAGTCCGTTGATGTGATCTAAGGCTTCCACCATCACTAAAACTCTTTCCACACTCCAGACATTTATATGGTTTCTCCCCTGTGTGAGTCCGTTGATGTCTTCTAAGATCTCCACTCTGACTGAATTCCTTTCCACACTCCATGCATTTAAATGGTTTCTCCCCTGTGTGAGTCCGTTGATGTGATCTAAGCTTTCCACTATCACTAAAGCTCTTTCCACACTCGATACATTTATATGGTTTCTCGCCTGTGTGAGTCCATTGATGTGATCTAAGTTGTGCACTCTGACTGAAGCTCTTTCCACACTCCATGCATTCAAATGGTTTCTCCCCTGTGTGAGTCCGTTGATGTGTTCTAAGATCTCCACTCCGACTGAAGCTCTTTCCACACTCCATGCATTCAAATGGTTTCTCCCCTGTGTGAGTCTGTTGATGATTTCTAAGGTTTCCACTCTTACTGAAGCTCTTTCCACACTCGATACATTTAAATGGTTTCTCCCCTGTGTGAGTCCGTTGATGTGTTCTAAGGCATCCTCTGTTACTAAAGCTCTTTCCACACTCCATACATTGAAATGGTTTCTCCCCTGTGTGAGTCCGTTGATGATTTCTAAGGTCTCCACTCTCACTGAAGCTCTTTCCACACTCCATGCATTTAAATGGTTTCTCCCCTGTGTGAGTCCGTTGATGTGTTCTAAGGTTTCCACTTTTACTAAAGCTCTTTCCACACTCGATACATTTAAATGGTTTCTCCCCTGTGTGAGTCTGTTGATGTGTTCTAAGGTTTCCACTCAGACTGAAGCTCTTTCCACGCTCCATACATTTATATGGTTTCTCCCCTGTGTGAGTCCATTGATGTTTCCTAAGGCTTCCATTTTCACTAAAGCTCTTTCCACACTCGATACATTTAAATGGTTTCTCCCCTGTGTGAGTCCGTTGATGTCTTCTAAGCTTTCCATTTTCACTAAAGCTCTTTCCACACTCGATACATTTAAATGGTTTCTCCCCTGTGTGAGTCCGTTGATGTGATCTAAGGCTTCCACGATCACTAAAACTCTTTCCACACTCCAGACATTTATATGGTTTCTCCCCTGTGTGAGTCCATTGATGGTTCCTAAGGCTTCCATTTTCACTAAAGCTCTTTCCACACTCGATACATTTAAATGGTTTCTCCCCTGTGTGAGTCCGTTGATGTATTCTAAGGTTTCCATTTTCACTAAAGCTCTTTCCACACTCGATACATTTAAATGGTTTCTCCCCTGTGTGAGTCCGTTGATGTATTCTAAGGTTTCCACTCCGACTGAAGCTCTTTCCACACTCCAGACATTTATATGGTTTCTCCCCTGTGTGAGACCGTTGATGGTTCCTAAGAACTCCACTCTGACTGAATTCCTTTCCACACTCCATGCATTTAAATGGTTTCTCCCCTGTGTGAGTCCGTTGATGTCTTCTAAGGCTTCCACTCCAACTGAATTCCTTTCCACACTCCATGCATTTAAATGGTTTCTCGCCTGTGTGAGTCCATTGATGTGATCTAAGGCTTCCACGATCACTAAAACTCATTCCACACTCCAGACATTTATATGGTTTCTCCCCTGTGTGAGTCCGTTGATGTATATTGAGGTGTCCACTCTGACTGAAGCTCTTTCCACACTCCAGACATTTATATGGTTTCTCCCCTGTGTGAGTCCGTTGATGGTTCCTAAGGCTTCCATTTTCACTAAAGCTCTTTCCACACTCCATGCATTCAAATGGTTTCTCCCCTGTGTGAGTCTGTTGATGATTTCTAAGGTTTCCACTCCGACTGAAGCTCTTTCCACACTCGATACATTTATATGGTTTCTCCCCTGTGTGAGTCCATTGATGTGATCTAAGTTGTGCACTCTGACTGAAGCTCTTTCCACACTCCATGCATTTAAACGGTTTCTCCCCTGTGTGAGTCCGTTGATATCTTCTAAGGCTTCCACTATTATTAATGTTCTTTCCACACACCATACATTCATATGGTTTTCCCCCTGTGTGAGTCCCTTTGTGCAATTTAAGGTTTCCACTCTGACTGAAATTCTTCCCACACTCCCTGCACTTAAAACGTTTTCTCTCTGTGTGAGTCCGCTGGTGTGTTCTAAGTTTTGAGTTGAAAGAGAAGCTCTTTCCGCACTACATACCTTTGAATGGCTTCTTTCCTTTTTGTGTTCGTTGATGTGAACTATGTGTGCTCATTCAGTGATGCATATTCCACATTTCACACATTTTAATGGCTATTCCTAATGAAACGAAAGGTGCCCTGTCCCCCACAATTCTGTCTTCTCCATCACCTTTTTCAGAGTGGGCAGAAAGCAAATCCTGTTTGGGTTTCAAGGAAGAGAACAAAGGGAAAGAGAACACATCAACCGCCATTAGCACCTTCTCTTATTTCAACATCTCTTACATTCTCCCATGTCCTCCCCATGTTCCCAATTTTTAGGAAATGAAAATGCTATGATGTCAAATGGTAGTAATGCATCAGGAACCTTTCAAGATCCTCAATCATCTTTAATAACACAGCATGATCTTGGAATACTGTTGTCCTGTGGGACTGCCTTTCAAATCAAGTGGTTGCCCCCGTTTACACCTCTAGATCTTCATGAATCACCTGCACAGTCCCACTGACCTCAGGAGGTCCATATGGATTATTTTGGGAGACCCAGGCCTACATCTCTTCCAGGGACTGTGGTCTGGGTCAGTCAGAGAACTAGTGACAAGGCTTGGTGCTTGGGGTCAGCTGAATGGGTGCTCAGGGAAGCTCCTGTTCTTGGAGATGGACCTCCATCTACATGCCTCACATTGCATGGAGAGAGCAGAAGAAGCAGAAGGGAAGCAGATGGCACATGGGAATCCCAGACGGAAACACCCACCCCAAAGGTTCTTTATAATGATGATGTGCTGCCTGATCCTGTGCTTGTCTTCTGACAGAGGACTATCCTAATCTGGCACTGAAAGGCAGGATATTCAAGGCAAGGAGATAACTGTTCTTCATGGTAGGTAGACATATTGGTCTGACACAGTTGAAGTAAAAAAGTAAAAAAATAGTCCAGTTGCACCTTAGGTTCTAGATATAAGCTTTTGTGTGCATTCACAGTTCTTCATATAGTGGGAGATGGAAGTAGGAGTACCTTTCTGAGAAAAACCCCACCCCACCCTCCCACAATATACAAGGGTCTGGTGACATCTGTGTCAGTGTATCTGAAGAAGTGCGCATGCACACAAAAGCTTATACCTAGAACAATCTTAGTTGGTCTCTAAGGTGCTACTGGACTATTTTTAAATGTTTTATTTCAACTGCGTCAGACCAACACGGCTACCTACCTGAATCTAGATGTCATGGGGTGTTGGGGATAAGTAGTTCCTTTGGTGGGGGACATGTCCTGCACCTCCTGGGATCATTTTTCCACCCTTGGTGCCCACCCTGCACTCAGCTCTCACCTGTGGCTTCCAGAAGCTGTCAGCATGCAACAGGGGTTCAAGCAAAGGCTTCTACCAGCCGGCTAAACCAGGTGAGGAAAGCTGATGGGTCTCAAATCGTTGATGGGCTGGGTGGGGAATTCTGCTGCACCTGAAGTCAAGCCCTGGTGGATGGAGTGGAGGAGAACAACCGTGAATCCCACAGTCCTGAGGGCAGATTCTGCCCGTGCGGAAGAGGAAAGAGAAGGGCAGGTGGGGCACGTCCACCTGGAGGCTTGTTATCTAGTCCCAGGATTACTCTGACTTTGAATTATATATAAATTGCAGTATTGAAATGTGCCTGCTCCCACTTCATATTCTGATATTACTCTACTCTGCTTGTCTGTTTCTTACTTGAGTGCTGTTTTGGTTTGCTAAGTCAGGGTTTTGCTGTGAGTTACATTTTTGCTATTTTTTGGGTCCTGTCATGCTTATCTGTCTTCAGTGTTTTCTCCTACTCTGCTACCTATACATCAATCATTATGGAGGAGCAAGATCTGCAACCTAAAGCCCTCCTCAGCCTCGGCCCTGTGGACCTGAAGGAGCATCTTTACCCCAATCGTTCAGTCCGGACAGGGAGGTCCGCCTCCGAGAGTCTTCTGCTGGTTCCCTTGCAGTTAGAAGTGAAGTTCCAGGGAACCAGGCAGAGGGCTTCCTGCCCCATGGAATGCCCTCCCTTCAGAGGGCTAGGAGACAGGCAACTATCTGACATTTAGAAGACAGCTGTATCAGGAGGTTTTTAATTTTTGGATGTTTTACTGTCTTGTATATGTACTGTAGGGACGCGGGTAGCGTTGTGGGTTAAACCCCAGAACTTAGGACTTGCTGATCAGAAGGTCGGCGGTTCAAATCCCTGCGACAGGGTGAGCTCCCGTTGCTTGGTCCCTGCTCCTGCCAACCTAGCAGTTCGAAAGCACATCAAAGAGCAAGTAGATAAATAGGTACCGCTCTGGCGGGAAGGTAAACGGCGTTTCCGTGCTCTGCTCTGATTCGCCAGAAGCGCTTAGTTCTGCTGGCCACACGACCCGGAAGCTGTACGCCGGCTCCCTCGGCCAATAAAGCGAGATGAGCGCCGCAACCCCAGAGTTTCCCGCAACTGGACCTTCCGGTCAGGGGTCCCTTTACCTTTACCTATATGTACTGTAAGCTGCCCAGAGTGGCTTGGGGAAGATACTAATAGTATAACATCTAGAGTGGTGCCTCGGGTTACAGGCGCTTCAGGTTACAGACTCTGCTAACCCAGAAATAGTACCTTGGGTTAAGAACTTTGCTTCAGGATGAGAACAGAAATCCTGCTCTGGTGTGTAGGGATATTGCGGAGTGGACAGTGGGGTCCGGAGGGAGACACTTTCCACCAGCAGGCAGCCACAATCTGCCTGCACGCGTGACCTTGGGGTGCAGGGCAACCCCCCCCCCCGACAAGCCACAGCTGTCTGTACATCGTTCCACCTCTGCCTGACCTTTTGCGATCTCAGCAGTTTGCGGTGTCCTGTCTGTAACCCTTTTCCATGAGACGTTTGTCTCCATTCATCATACATTGAGCAAGGGGGAAATGACGCTGTGGAACAGGTGCCAAAATAGCTTTGTACCACCCCACGATTTTGAGACGGAAGATGTAAAGGTCACAGCCCAAAAATGTATTTGCCTGGCTTGCATACTTGTGTCAATAAAAGGAGGCTCCACAGGAATGGCAGTAGCTCGCTTCAGCCCACCTGTGCCCAGCTCACATGATGATCAACACCTGTCTTGGGCAGCAGGAGGCCCCATTAGCTAAAGTGGTGCTTCAGGTTAAGAACAGTTTCAGATTAAGAACAGAGCTGCAGAACGAATTCAGTTCTTAACCCGAGGTACCAGTGTACTATTATTATCATCTTGTGATTTTTTGTAGTTATTTTGGAATTCGTACTGCAATATTAGCTTACGAAATGTTATGGGTGGAGAAAATCACAGGGTTGCCATAAACTATAATCCCACCCACAAACTCTCATTCACACACAGTCTGTAAATTTGGGGGGGTCACAAACCTCACCTGTACTAATACTGGCAGTCTTTGGCCTGCACAGGCACACCCGGTGTGTAGAGCCTCCAGCCACAGGCACTGTCTATCATGAAAATGGGTCCTTTGACTGGGAAGATTCATGCAGTCGCTGTCATCGGATGCTGATAGGTTGTATCTCAGCTTGTCAGTCACTCTGACATTGCCTACAAAGAATGAGAGGAACAGAAATGCTTTTGAGGTGCAACTTCTGTATCAATCCTGAGCGCCATTCCATGGACTCTGCACCCCTGTTTCTGAGGACAGGTGTACATTATCCTTATCCTCAGCGGAAAAGACAATAAAGATGGCAGCCTGAGAGAGAGGAAAAGGTTTCTGGTTGCTTCCTGGGTGGGATTGCGGAAACAAAGAGCCGCTTCTGAGAAGGCCTCCCCCCTCCCCTCTTCCTCTCGGGATTTCCTCTCCTCTCCAGGGGACCAGAGGTTGGACTGGGCAGGATGGCTGTGTCTGGACAGGGCAGGCGATTATGGGGTGGAAGGAGGATGGAGATTGCAGGAAAATAGGGGTGGGGGGACAGAACCCCCACTTTCCAGGGATCCCTCTCTGGTCGCCTTGAAGGGGGGGCATTCCTGGGTGGGAGGGAGAAGCCAAGGCGGCCCCTCCGGAGATTCCCCAAGGAAGGCACGATGGAGACCCCCCCCAAGTCTGGTCTTCCTATCTCCCCCCCTGCCAATGCTGCCTTCCCTCCTCCCCCCACTTCCTCGACCCCCTCCCTCTCTCCCGGAGTCTCCCCTGCATCCAGAGGCTTCCTTGGCACCACTCCCCCCACGTGCTGCGCCCCCATCTCTCCAGCCGGAGGGGCCCCCCAAGACGAGCCGGGGAGGGACAGGGGGGTCTCTATCCCTCGTGCCCGTTAACCCTTTCGTGGCCCACCTCTCTTTGCGCGGAGCCCCCAGCGCTCCGGATATTCTCAGCGGGCGCCACGATGGAGACTTCTCCCCAAAGACTGGTCTTCCTATCTCCCCCCCCCCGCTGCCCTTCTCTGACCCAGGGATGCTCCCCTCCCTCCCCCCATTCCTCGACCCCCTCCCTCTCTCCCGGAGTCTCCCCTGCACCCAAAGGCCCCCTTGGCTCGGGTCACCCCTCGCCCTGCGCGCCACACCTCTCCATTCCCGGCCCCCCCGACAGGAGCAAGGGAGGGACAGGGGGGTCTCTATCCAGGCGCCTCCCGTACCCCTTAACCCTTTTCTGGCCCGCTTCTCCGCGCCCCAGGGAGTCCTCGTGGGTGGGCGCCCCATCTCCGCCCCTTCGCAGCACGCGTGCCGGGATCCAGGCCCCACGGAAGGCGCTTGGGGAGCTGGAGGGGTCTCTGCGTCCTCTTCTCTCTCCGCCCCCCCCCCCGCGACCCCTTTACCTCTTTGTCCTCGCTCCGATTCTCATTTCTTTTGTTACGGAAAAATCTGGGTGCGGGGTTACTCTGCCACCCAGCTCATCGGACTAAGTCCGTGGGTCCCTGCGGAAGAAAATGAGCTCAGCCGGACGCAGGAGCAAACTGCAGAAGATCCAAGTTTATTGCGCAACAGGTTCAAGGCGAAATTGAACAGCCAGAAAGGGGTGACATGAACTTTTGAAACTCCCTCCATGTCCCAGAATACAGTGCAAAATACATCCCAGTTACATCATGAATACATTAAGGAGAGGTTGGGTTACACAGATTAACATATGGAGGAGGGAGGGGGGAATATGCAGAGCTGGAGATATGCGCAGATAAGCACATCCTGAGAAGGCAATGGTCCATGTTTGCATAGTCTGTCACCTGGCATCGCCTGGAGGAAGGGTTTGGCAGAGTGATTTTGACTGGATTACTTGAGAGATTATGGAGGACAGGGGAGGGGTGATGGAGTCCTAGAGAAATTGAGCAAATATATTGTAGTGAAGAAGACATGCCCCCCCCTTCCGTAACAGTCCCCCATTCGGAGATAGATTTGCATTAAAGTTCTGTAAGAACTTGCAAATCTTTTCTCCGCACCCTAAATCTCGGTGAATGGGATGTGTGGCTTTATGCAAACCTGAAAGGGACTTGCAAGCCATGCCTCTTACGGTCATTTGCAAGTATAGCAGTGCAGGTAGCTGCATATAGGGTATTATATAAAAGAACATCTGTTGTATTTTGTTACTAAATTACTTGTGGCACCCTAGCTCTTGGGAGAAACATTTTCAATAGTGGTGTATGCTTTACATTTTAGCAGGAAGGTCCACTACTGACTGAAAAGTGCAGTTTGCTCCCCCCCCCCCCGCCATTTGTGTGTTCTCAGGTGTCAAGGTAGCTCTTCTGTGGTCTCACATCGGCATGGTGTCGCAGTAGTGGCAATCCCTGGTGAATCCACTTAGGCTTTCATATTTATCATGTAGCCTGGCACCCACCACAGCTGGCACAGGTTTCGGACACGTCCTGAGAGAAATGTCTTTGCCTTGGCCAAAATCCATGGGATTTCTTATTATTATTACAGGCTCTGGTCTTGTAGTCCTGGGAAGTTGATCACTTTGCACTTTAAGGACCAAAAAGCTAATTGCAGCCTGGATACACTTGCCCAATTCAAACTGAGTCCAATTTGAATTTATGTGCCCATGGTTCTCAACCTTTCAAACCAGTCTGTTAAAGGAAAACCGTTCTTAAAAGGGCACTTTGTCCAAATAAGTCAATTTAACTCTATAAGGGATCATTCCTGCTAAACCAAAGCATGTGCACCTTCATGTATCTTATAAGCTTCTCCTTGGTAAAGCAAGTTTTAGCACATTTTAAAATGGATAGGGAAAGTTGGCAGAGTGCCAGGTGGGACAATGAAATGTGGTTATCTAAACATTGGACTACACAATAGTGTGAGCTATCAGAAAGTATAAAATGCATGAGAATTGGTGTGCAAGCAATAAGACATTAAACATAAAAATTACACACAAAAATACCCCCCCTTGTGGAAATAACACACTGTCAGACACATTTCAACATTCCTACATAATAACACTTAATACAAAACAAACTAATTAAATATCAGTTGCACAATTGTGATCTTTTACGCATGTATCTTTTGAATCCTGGAGCACAGAGGCTTGAGGTTCAAGTGAAAAGATGTCCTTGCAAGTCAACTCCACCCCCCTTTGTCAGGCCCACTCCCCTGGCAGTCTATATCCTTTGAAAGAGATAGCTGTGGGCACTTGGAAACTCTGGTGTCTTGTGATGACGGAAGAACTGAGTTGAGGGGTTGTTGCTGCTTTTCATCATTGCACATCTGTAGACGCGATATCCTGTAAGGGGGCAGGGTTTTGGGGACTTAAAAACACAGACAAGGAAGGGGCAAAAGGCAAAAAGGATGTCCTCCAGTTTCCATGGGAA